GTGGTCAACAGGCACAAGAAAACGTGCTCAATATCAGGAATCATCAGGGAAATGCAAATCAAAACCACAATGAGATAGTACCTCAAGTCTGTTAGGATAACTATTACTGAAAAAAAAAACAGAAGATAACAAGTGTTGATGAGGATGATACACATTATTGGTGGGAAGGTAAATTGGTACAGCCATTATGGCAAACAGTATGCAGGTTTCTCAGAAAATTAAAAATAGAACCACCATATGATTCAGCAATCCCATTTCTAGATACACACACACACACACACACACACACACACACACACACACAAAGGAAGTAGGATCAAGATCTCAAAGAGTACCTGCACTCTTAAGTTCTTTGTATTCTCATAGCCAAGATATGGACATAACCTAGGTGTCTGCTGACAGATAATGGATAAAATAATTGTGGTGTATATACACAGTAGGACATTATCCAGCCTTAAATTAAAAAAAAAAAAAGAGGAAGGAAATCCCATCATTTGTGTGTACCTGGAGAACATTATGCTGAATGACATAAGTCAAACAGGAAGACACATACTGCATGACCTCCCTTACATGTGAAAGCTAAAACAGTCCAGTGAATAGCAACAGAGCACAGAAAGGTGGTTGCCAGGGGAAGGGGAAATAGGAAGGTCATGGTCAAAGAGTACAAAGTTTCAGTTTCGCAAGATAAATATGTTCTAGAGATCTACAATACAGCATAGTTCCTATAGGTAACAATACTACATCAGGTACTTAAAATTTGCTCAAAGGGTATATCGTGTGTTAAATGTTCTTAACACAATGTTCTCAACAAACACACATGCACACACACACACACACACACACAATAATTTTAAAAAAGGACAGGAGGAAACTTTAGGATGTGTTGAATATGTTTATGACCTTGATGATGGTAGTTTCATATGTAGTTTATATTTTCCCCACACTTATTGAGTTGTATACATTGAGTTGTATACATTTTCAGCTGTCAATCATACCACAACAAAGTGGCTGAAAGAAGAAAGAAATTAGAATAGCGGTGTTACTTGGTAGGGCTGGGGAGCAACAGTGATTGGCAGGGATGTGAAAGGGGCTTCTTGGGATGTCGCTAACATTCTATTTCTTGATATGGGTACTAATTAAACATGTACCCAAATTGTAAAAATCCACCAACTCATACATTCTTCATTACATCTGGTCCTTCAACAAAAATAAAAACAAACAGCTCTGGTTTCTTCCCTTCAGCATGACATGTACTCTTTCACAAATTTCCCCCTTGTACCCTCCCCCACCCATCTCCAATCATCTCCACAATACTAGCACACCAGATGACTCAATGCTTTCCAAACACAGTACACTTCCTATTTTTTTCTGATCACTTTGACAGGAAGTCCTTCAGTTGAAAGTCAGCCTATCCTTTGAAGTCCCACTCAACTCTCACCTCCTCCATGAGATTTCTTCCTAATCAACCTGTGCAAAAGGAATGGTTCCCATTCTGTGCTTTACAATACTAGTACTTCTTTTCTTAGAGCTGCAGTGATCATACCTTCTATATAAGAAACAGGGTTTTGGCCTGAAAAGTATGAGTTACACTTAAGCAGCCAATAGGATGAATAATGGACACGCCGGCTTGAAAGTCCAGGGTATGGATAACACACTGTATCATAGTAATTTCTCTGGATTTCCACTCCCAGCTAGACCAGAGTTCTATATCATGAGCCCCATTCACAGACTGGTAAAGTTTACAGACCACTCTTTTTAAGGTAAATGCTCTCATTCTAGATGGATAACTCCAAGGATCTATACAAAGAGAAAACATTCAGATTGCTAACATCTGGATCAATAAGTAACCCCAAAACCCACCCACATTTCTTCATCACCACCCACAAAAGAGTGAACACTATTTTGACTTCTAACATAAGAGATTAGTTAACCTGTTTTTTGACTTTATATAAATCCAGTCATATACATAGTACGTTCCCTTTTGGGTCTAGTTTCTTTTTCTCAGTCTTATGCTTGTGGGATTCACCCATGTTGCTGAATGTAGCAATTGTTTATTCATTCTCATTGCTGGGTAATATTTCATTGTATGAATATATCACTACTGATTTACCCATTCTTCTATTGATGAACATGCAGCTTGTTTTCAGTTTTTCTTTGCAATGAATGGTGCTTTTATGGATATCTTCACTCAATGGTAAATACATATTATATACTTGTTTCAGCACACTTTTTAAACTTGTAACAAAATAAATAGGAGCAAAAAAGAAACAACATGGTTTTTAAAATACTTGAAACAAACAAAATTGGAGGTATCATGATAGCTGTGCTTCTTTATTAACATAATTCTTTATTAACACAATGGGTCTAATAACAACTACAATTTTGAAGTCATGATATGAATAAGTGAACTTTCAGAATTTCTGCAAAACTAAAATATGCTATAAAAATATCTGTGATTTCTGTTGGTGACAAAGTCACATATATTGTAAGTACCTCTGTGTTTTGTCATATATATTTGTAATTGAAAGAATGTTAAATTTTAGTTAGAGATTAGTGAAAAATAGAGATGTAATTTTTTTCCCATCCAAGTGAGGACTCCTGAAACTTAGGAAAAAGTAACTATGTGCTTAAACATATGGTTCTGCATTTAGCTATTCTCATTTCATTGTTTTAGAAATTATACAAATAATATTTATATATGTAAAACCATTCAAATATATAAGCATTTGAAGTAGAAACTCAGTATCCTTCACCCTCCTAATCCCCCTCTTCAGAAGTTAAGTACTATTAACATGAATAGTTTCATGTATAGATTTCAAACTTTTTTCTTAATACATACATCACATATTTTATCTCTATGCACACACAGACACACACACACACATAGGTACATACCATGTACAGATATGGCAATTTTCTTTGCATGTTGCTCTACAATCTACTGTTCCCCCTAATGATCTATTGTGGATATTATGCCAGGTTAATATCTCAAGGTCAATATTATGTGTCATTGATATTGAACAGTATTTCATTTTATGGGATTGTTTTTTACTGTTCTCCTATTAAAAATTTTAGATTATTATTTCTTTTGTTTGTTATTGAAAACCACAAGGCAGTGAACATCCTTGTAATTATCTTGTTGAGATGCCCAGACAAGGATTTCTGAATGGGTAGTTCTTTGCTTGGTTGATTTGCTTCATTAAAGAGTCACATGTTTTAATTTTTTAGAGCCATAGCCTAGTTCAACAGGAGAAAGTTTGAAACTTCATTCCTAAGGAAACGTTCTATGAACCTTCAGCTGATCCACAGCTCCGGGTTATCTCATTCCTATACTTAGAGAATTCCTTTCACTCCAGTAAAGTGAACGTGATGTCCGGATTGCCACAATCTCTTCCCGGTGCATATTTTAACTCCCATCCAAACTCACCTTTATTTCAGAAGCAAACAATTTCTTTGCAACAAAACTCTCAGAAGTCCCTCATGCTTCAAAGTAATGATTAAACTCCATTTCTACTGTTGATTTTTTTTCCTGATGGGTCAACATACACTCATCTAAAACTTCATTAAGTTCATTTTAAGCTTTCTCCTCTCTTTCTAATTGTATAAGCAAAAGAATACATGGATTTATCAGAAGGGAAATGCAGGCATATACAGGAAGTGATTATTTATTTAAGATTAAAACAAGGGGAAATTTAAGAAACTATCAGAACATTGTAATAAGGACCTGAAATCATGCCATAAACTCCTGTAGACTCAATAAATATTTTTTATATTCTAAGAAAAAGAATTATCTTCATTGCCTTTTTATGAAGATCTCTCTGTACAAAGACATTTTACCTAAGTTATTTCTACTTCTCCTAACAAACTTGCAGGGCAGGTTGCATTTTCTTCATTACACAGATAAGGAAACTGAGCCTCTTGATTTGGTCAAGACTTCACAGCTAGCTAAGTGCTTGAGATGAGGTCTGGACTCAGGTTCACCCCGTTCTCTTCACATCTGTTCAGGATTGTCTCTCTTGCCATACAAGTTGCAACTTAGCACTTCAAAGGAGAGAACCAAGACCAACAGAGGCCCTGAGATGCAGAACTTAGCTCAACAAAAAGATAAGAAGAATGTCCCTTCACAGGAGGTTGGGTGATTGGTTATCGGTCAGGATACTGTACATAAAATTCCTGCAGTGGATCAGAGGTTGGATCAAGTTACCTCCAAGTACCCTCCAAGTCTACAAATGTATTATTTGATCCCCACACTTATTTTTCAGAGAGGGAAATGGAATCATTGAATAACTAGCTCAAGTTCACAGATAACTAGAGCAGAAACCACACCACCTGACTATCCTTCTATTGACCTTTCCAGTAAGACATGCCTATGTTCAAGATCATGGACTTTGTTGCATTTTGTATACCTAATTTTTTATATATATAATTTTGAATACCTTTACTCATTTGTTTGTGATTTTGGTTAACCTAGGTTCCATCTTTATATCCTGCAACAAATAAATGATAAGGGGGAGGGAACGTCATGTCTTTTGTTTTCTCCTCCTGTCTCCTCTAAGAGCTAAGGGTCAGGAACAGAGCCATTTGATGTCTCCCAACTTCTTTTAAATTCCTTGGATTCCTAACCCAGTACAAAAGTATTAATGTGGCATACACATAAAGAAAATAGGGGCATGAGGAAAAGGGGTGGGCTGATATAATTCCAGAAAATAAAATTAAAAAAAAGTCCAATCAGAGGTGCAGCCTGTAAAACCTCTCATGATATTTTTAAAAGTTATCAGAGCTGGATCAGTTCTACCTCCCATTTTGTAGAAAAGAAGAAAAAACCAAGAAGAAAAAAACTAAGGAGAGCCTTCAAAAAACAACTGACTTCTCGGCTGAAGCATGTTGTATCAGGCCTGGATAAGGCCTGATTGTACGGAGACAAGCTTAGAAAAATCCACACTGTGTTTGGACAGCCCTTGAATGTTTGAGAATAGCTGTTTAATGTATATGTCACCTACCTGCCATACGCCGGGTGTTCCCTGAAGTAAGTGCCAGATTTGTCTCTCAATGACCTCCCTGGCAAAGAAGTGAAAATCACCTATCAGAAAAAGAACCCACTTTAATGAGAGAGATTGCCACCCATCCTCCCAGTCCAAAGCTACTATGACAAAATATAAGCCTTTCATGAGAAGGTGAAAACCGAAGGCCTGGCTCATGTATTTGGAAAGCTGACTTAGATTAGATACCTAAATTCTTACTACTTAATGTAAAATTGGGGTAAATAAGTTTTTGTCAAGGCTGCTGGAAAGGTTGACCATTTAGTTAACAATTAACAGCCAAGCAATTTGTTTCCAGAAAACCTATTTATTTCCATTACCTTATTCAGGTCATTTAGAAAATGCAGTTTTAAACTTTCCAAGTGAGGGTTAGAGAGATTTTAAGTATGGGTAGAAGAAAAGACTAGGTTCTGGTTCATTAATTGACCAAGCAATATTGGAAAGTGGTAAAAGAAGGGGTGAGTTTGGATTCCAGTCTTTATTCCCTGGTTTTAAAACATTTATCCACATTTTGGGCAAATGACTTAATTTTCCAGTACCCCGGTATCCCTGTTTATAAACAGGTAACACCTCATGGGGTTACTGGAAAGATTAAATGACATAGTACCTGGCACACAGTGAGTATTTAGCAAATGTAAAACTATTTTGTTTTAATGTTAAGAATGGTGATTCTTTCCCCTCCAAGTTTGAAATGAAAATGATCAGCCAGGCAGACTCTGTATAGATTTACATCCAGATTTTGTTATGTTTAGCTCTCACAAACAGCAGCCACTATTAAAATAAAAAGAAAAAAATTAACGAAACTGGTTTTTACATTGGATTGCCATATATATTGCATATACACTGCAAGTTATTATATTATTTTTCTGTGATACCCTAACAAGCTTCTTATCTCTCCTTGGGTGTGGTTCACACTCATCATACTGTTGGCTTTGTTCAGTATCTTATCTCTTCTAATTTAATTTCAATAATCATTACAAATGAGGTTGTGAGAAGCTTGTCCTGTTCAGCAAATATGGCTTATGATACATGAAATAAGTCATTAATCTCCTAGGGTCTTAAAGGGTTATAGGTCTTTTTTAAAATCGGGGGAGAGGAGAGGTCAACAAATGCCTAGAATTTAATCCAAATGATTAAAAGGACAGGATGTTCTTTTTTCCCTTAGGGCCACAGAAGGAAATGAGAACTAAATTTAATACCATGAGTTCTCATGTTCATAAATTGATGTCTTAGGCTTATGTGTCCTAGTAATTATGCCCTGCTTTGGAAAGGTTTACCCTGAAAGTTTAGTCAGAAAGATAAAAATTCAGAAGCTGGGAGAGCTAAGAAACTAGGAAATAAGCTTTGGGAACTTCCAACAAGGTACTTATCTCAAAGGACACACAGGGCAAACTTGTTTTGTTTGTGTTTTCTTTATTTTTTGCACAGGGCAAACTTGTAAAATGGGATTTATGTGTCATGTCCTAGCCATGCTTCTACTTTCTACCTCAGTGGTGGAACAGATGTCAAGTCATGGAGCCCTTTTACTCTTCTCTGCCTGGTGAAGTAAGCTGCTCAGGCTGTCCCATCAGACATTTACACTCTAGTGAAAACTTAATGTGTTATTGCTCCCAGGAAGGCTTTGTTTTGAAAGCTTTATCTGTGCCTCTGTTGTAATGTTTTTAATCCCTATGTCATAGTGTAAGCAACTGAGACCACTCTAACTTAAGTAAAACAGGAATTTACTGGAAGAGCAAGAAACAGTTAAAGAACATCTTGGAAAAGATAGGAGCCTAGTCAGTTCTGTGAGATTTCTGCAGCCATATCTAATCACATTCTCTTCAGGGACCTTCCTTAAGATGAATTCTGACCTGCTTAGGTCTGTATCACTCCACTGGATTCAAATGCTAGGAAGAGGACATCTGGTTGCCCCAACCCCTTACTTAGGAAGAGGGTAGGATGCCAAGATGCAGCAAGTAGATGAAAAAAGCTTCCACAAAGGAATACTGAAGCCCTGTTACTGAAAGAGTGACTAGATGGTATGCAAACAAAGTCCTACATTTAGTATAATCACCAAGTAAAATAATTTACACATCTGTAAATAAACTTTACATCTTGGACATGTGGTAAAAGAAGAGGGCTGTCCCAGCTCTTAGGTAGCCATCTTAGCTCACATGAAGGGCCCTTCTCAGAGACCCATCCCTGATCTCCAGTGATAGCATAGCAGATAAAAGAAAAAGGAGCAACTCCCAAATTCTTTCAATGGCTTTCTCTCAAAAGTTTTTAAATAAACATCTTATGATTTGACTGTATTTGAAAATACTTAAATTGAACTTTGCTCTTTACAAACTTTTTCTTCTAGGCAAACAGATTTACTTGCTATTCTAACAGCACACCTCATACTTTTCTAATCTGCAGAATGAAGAGACCTATATCTCTTACCACGAACATGACCCTGAGCAAAACTCTAGGGGACCCTTTTCTGAAAACTCACATACATACCTTTGTTCCTGCCACCCCATCTTCAAAGGCTCTTCTCCTCTATCTTCCCCCACCCAAAATAATCCTGCTCTTCCTACTCAGAGATGTCACCCTATTTTCTCCAGTAGCAATTGACCTCTTTCTTCCCTGACTCCCTTAGGATTTTTTGCATAGATTATTTACCTTGGCTCTTCTATACATATCAAATGTAGGTCTTGGACAAATTATTTAACCTCTTTGAGATTTTGTTTCTTCATTTTAAAAATAGATACTGATTTCACAGGATTGATAAAATGATTAACTATAACAAATATAAAACACCTAGCACAATATTTAGCATGTAATAACTCATTAGATTGGTAGCTATGACAATTACCATTTCTTCTTGTTACCAAAACTATAATAATTATTAAAGTAGAAAATAATATTATTTATAAGGCAGATATTTATTGTTTGGTAGGAGCTTCACATTTATTATCTCATATGTGTTAACTTTGTAATCTAGCTGGTTTTATAAATTTGTGTTTTATTTCCCAACTAGATGTTTAGGACATAGTTTATGCATTAAGGTTTTTTTTTTATAATCTTCCCAGTGCCAGACTAGTTCACAGTTCATAGCAAGTGCTCAGGAATTATTTGTTGCAAATGATATGATGATTTGTAAATCTGAAATTCAGTGACTTGCATTATGTCAAAATATAAGCTGATTTGGAAAATCAGATCCCAATTTGGCTTGCATTTTAATACTGGGTTTTAGATATATCAGTTGCTTAAATGGTATGTTGGTGAAAGCTTTGCCTTCCTCTCACTCAGTATACACTTTTGAATATCTACTATGCGCCACACTCTGTTAGAGTCAACCAGCAAAGACTTCTAAAATAGGAATATGATGACATTCATTTGTCTATATTTTTGGCATGTTTACAGACTCCATTTTTGCTTATTCCCTTCAAGAAAGTGGCTCTTATGTTGTAATCTAAGCACTTAGAGAATATACAAAACATACAGCATAATGAATAGTTAGACTCTGGAGTCAGAAAGCCTGGGTTTGAATCCCAGTTCTGCTAATTCTTTGCTCTGAGATAGTGGGCAAGTTACTTATCCTCTCTAAGCTTCAGTTCTTTCATCTGTAAGATGAAAATAATAATAGTACTTATCTTTAAGGACTATTGTAAGTATGAAATGAAATAATGCATATAAAACCTTTAGTTCTGGCCTACAAGAAAATAAAATACTAGCTAACTTTGAACTATTCATATTCATCCTCGAAACATACTAAGGATACTGGACAAGAAGAATGCAATTGGAAAGTCACTTTTTTGAACAAGGGAAGAGGGAATAAACATATATTTAAGTTCCATGATGTGCTGGGCAGGAGAATAGAAGTTCTCCATATGTTATGTTATTTAATCCTCACAACAGCATGGTCAAACAGGCATTATCTCACAGATGAGGCTACCAGGGCTCAGAGAGGTTAAGTTTCTTGCCAGACTTTGTACCACAGAAATGGTAGAATCAGAATTAGTACTCTGAATCCTTCTCACACGATGAAAAAGGATCCTGTAGCATTTCACTCATATCTCTATGACTATGCAAACACTGTACTGTTTTTATAGCATAGCAGTGCTCAAAGCTTAGCATACATAAGAATCACTTGGGGTGCTTGAAAAACCCTCAATCCAGGTCCCTCCCCTAAAAGATTCTAATTTAAGGATAGGGCTAAGAAATCAGAATTTGAGGAAACATCCCATAATTCTGTCATAGACTATTCTGATCATATTCTAGAAATAGTGCCACACCCTGTTTTAAGATTCTGTAATTCAGATACATATAGTAAAGATTAGAAGTTTGTATCTTAAGGTATATGACTATGTGATGACTGATATGTAAACTGACATATTTTAAGTTTCATCTAGCAACTGCATATTTTGTATTTATCTTATAGTCTCTATACAAAAACTGATATTGTAGCCTCCTTGGTGGCACAAGGGGTTAAGCGTCAGCACTATGAAGCAATCCACAGCGACTGCAGCACAAGTTTGATCCCTGGCCAGGAAGGTGACCCACATGGTGCAGCAGACCTCTCCTGACTCGCCTGCTGCTCCCCTCAGCAGAGTATTTCAGTTGATCTGCCTGTTCTGTTCCCCACTCTGTCTCTGGTGAATCTTCTCAACCCCTCTGCCCCACATCTCTGGCCTACACCCCAGCTCTTGTATGCATAAATAAATAAATCTTTAAAAAAAATAAAAACTGATTATCTTTCAAATTGACTTTATATGAGATTTTATGTCCTATCTATAAGTAGGCTACTTCACTGGGAGTATCTTATTTATAGCAGTTATTTGTTTATTAGTTGCTTGCTTATTAACAGTTGTTTATTTAGCCAAGATGATTTTAAAAGACCCATCCATTGGGAAATGAATAATTAAGTATAAGTATCTTGGAGGGAGGGGTACTTATACTTAATGTTGAAGGTCTTTATCAGGTCTGATAATTTAAACAATTGTTTAAGGACCTGTCAGGTATTTAGCTGAGGTAATTCCTTTAAAATAAACCATATAGGTCACATAGTGCTAATAAAATATGTTGATGAATTCTTGAGTATTGCCCTGATTCCATCTCCTTGGGGAATGGAGAACTCATTAGTGTGTGTTCCATGTCAGTCTTTCCTGCTCTCTTCCTCAGGAACTTTCCAGATAAATTTGGCATAAAAGGGTGATCAAAATGTATGTAGCATGCTCGAGTTTCAAATGAATGGTTCATCTAAGCCCACTGATTAAATACATGACATTACGTAGTATGAAAAGGCTGCTGTATTTCACTGAGTTTACTTTTCTGTCTGAGAGCTTTAAATAGGTAAAGGGATGGAGGAGGCCTCTCTATATAAATTCTTAGCTCTTGATACAGCAGATGCCTATTTCCCAGCACAAGGGCGATGCCTCAAATGCTGCGAAGTAGTTAAACTGGGAGCAGCAGGGTGTGTATGTGTGTGTGTATCTGTGTGTGTGTGTGTCTGTGTGTCTGCCTGCACACAAGGGGAGAGATAAACCTGTTTGCTTTCTGAAACAATAAGTAGTAAAACAGGTTGTTTAGGGTAAAGTCCCTTGAACTAGATAATTGATTTTAAATACATCTGCCTATAATAGTACCTTATATTTACATAGAAAAGTTCAAAGCATTTTTACATTTACTATCTCATTTGAACTTCCCAACAACAGTATGAAGTAGGCACGGTAAGTATTATAGTCCACCACCACCGCCACTTAAAAGATGTCTAAACTGAGGCACAAGCATGTCAAGAAACTTGCTTGAGGTCACATAACCAGTTGGTGTCACAACTAGAAGTAGAGCACCGGAATTTTGAAACTTAAGCCTGGTTTTTCTTGGCAGAAAGTGTCTCAGCTACTGCTTGATCTATCCAGAGTTCATGTGGAGATTTGTGGTTACAATTTAATTGGAGAATACAAATCAGGCATGCCTAAAGAGCTCTACAGAAAGGAGATTGTTTCTCTTAGATCAAGACTGTGTTAGAAAAGAGAGGTAGTGAATGGAGTCAGTTGTTTTGGACAATGCAAATTACAAACAAACAAAAACACTTTGTAATCAGCTTCTGGATATTTGGGGGGTTATTCATTCATTAATTCGTGTATTCATTTTTTTAAAGTATCTATTAAGTGCCTTTATATAAGAGACTGTGCTTAGCACTTTTGGGAAGACACAAAGAAATGCATTTAATTTTGAGGGTTGCTTTAAATTATACAGACAATTTCTATTTTATTCATTGTCCATTACCACTGGGTAAATTAAATGAAATGCCTTCCTTGCAGAAGAGCAAGATAAACAAAAACAAATGAAGAAAGTGGACAACAATTTCCTTTAATTCTCTCCCTGTAGGAAACTTTTTTTGTAATCAAGGTGATAAATTGTCCTGCCAGGTACTCAAAAACCGAGCTACCTATGTCATCCAATATAACACAGATTTTACTGTAAAGTCCCCTTGAAACTAGGGAGAGTGAGCTAAGGTTAGTGACAGGTTCCTTATCAGAGATACCAGATCAGGATTTAAGGGAAAATGTTAGCAACTTCCAAATAGCATCTCTGAAAGCCACGATTAAGTCTCTAAAATACTTTCCCCTACCTGGCTCCAAAATGGACTTTTCCTCTTGGCAGTCATGCTTATATGGACAAAAGGGGATATACAGAAGATACAAAATGAAAGGGGAAAGAGACATCAGTGGGTTCAAGGAAACAACTGACAGAGTTGAAGGCCCTGCCAGTTGGGTGGAAGATAAAGAAAAGTTTGCAAGTGAGTGTAGTCAGTTTCCTTGGAGTCCACTTTTTTTTTTTTTTTTAAAAAAAGCTTTTCCCTGGACAAATTTCTTAACTTTCCATCATAAACATCTCCCAAGTTGAAGGCAAAATTTGTGCTAATATTTATATACATTATAAGTACTTGTTTGATATATTTCTTTAGTTTATACCACATACACAAATAGTGTCATTGAGTGAAACTACCTTTTAGTGTTGTGACAGGTACTGTTCAGCCAGTGTGTGGGGAACAGTTTATATGCACATCTGTGTTGTTTATTTGCCTGTGTGTGTGTGTGTGTGTGTATGAAGAGTGCAAGTTCAGAGTTCACCCAACTCTGTCCCTAACTGTCCTCATTTTGCTTCTATGGGTTTTCCCTTTTTTTCCACTTGTAAAATTTTGTAGGGTTGGAGTTGGTGAACTCCAAAATATGTTCCAACTCTACCAGCTGATGATATTCCAGTTTTTAAACCTGGTTTTGTTATTAAACATGTACTGCAATCAAGCAGTATGCCTAGCAACATAATAGGATTCTGCTTCAGGAAAGTTGGTTGGGTACAAAAGCATAAGTCAGACAAAATTAATTTTACTCAGTTTATAAAAATTATTTGATTTGCAAAATAATTTCAGGAAAAGTTGGTAAATAATAAACTCAGGTTATACCATTTAAAGTATTTTTAAAAAATAAAAAATTGGAGTAAATTTTTTTCCAAGCAAGTCATCCAGAGTAAGACGTACGTGGATTAAATAATAAAAAATAGAAATATATTTCATAAAATTCTAGTATTTTGGAATGCTAAAGGAAAATTTCAATCCAACATCCTCATTTTCTAAATTAGGGAATTTAGAATCAAATAAGATTACTTACTTGTTGAAGATCACACAGATAGTTAACAAAGACCGCAAAGAAAATCAATTGCAGATTTTGGGGGTATTTTCTCTATGCATATTTTGAGACCACACTTCTTCATTTACCTATTAGGGAGAAAAATCATAAATAATCACTGCTTAAATGGAGGAATATTAAAAAAAATTTAAAGTTAGAATGCAGATTCTCAGGTTCCTTGTGTATAAACACATCACCTTTCAACAATCTAAATAGCAGATTCACATGCATTTAAAGTGACTTAATCTACTTATTATCTTTGCTGACCTTTAAATTACCACTGAAATAGCACAGTACTCTGTTATTATTTAAATTACTTCAGATATACTCTTTGGATTTTCTATAAACCATACTGTGATTTTTATAGCATGAGTACACATTTTGATCTCTGTCAATAATATACTTTCTAACACTGACATTTACTGAAATTCCAGATATGCTTGTAAGTGTTGATAGGACTTGGCTCCTTTGCTCCAGTCCAGTTTTATTATTCCTTTCACATTCTTTTATTAAATACTACATAACATCCTTTTAATACTTATTTCATTGCAGTGGCCGGAAATCAAATATTAGCATAAAGTACTAATCAGTTTCAAGTCACCACAGTTGACATTTGCCGTGGACCCCAACATTTCAAGCTGGAAGGGCTCTTTAAAACTAATGCTTCTAGCATTTCATTGACTCACACTAAATCGGTCCCTCGATCACCCAGTTAATTTTAACCTTGACCTCCCACAGCTGTACTGCTTTACTCAGTCCAAAAAAACTCCCTGCTTCCACCCTTTCTGCCACTTATGAAGCAATAGCGGGGAGGAAAACAAAACCCATTCCTTTAAGAAAGATTCCGCCTCCTCTCTTAAGAAACGAGAGCCTAATGGTAATTGTGGAGTCTCTACTAAGTCACACACTTTACTACTTGGCTTAGGGAGAAGCTGCCGCCCCACTGCTGCTGTCGCTGCTGCTGCCTCCGCCGCTGCTGGTCTGAGGCTGCAGTGGGTGTCTGTGCAGCACTGCAGAATCCACACCTACAGAAGAGAAGACACACGTCTACTAGTCCGGACACGAGAAAGCCTCGGATCCTCAGCGGGTAAGAAGATCTTTTATCCATTTTGCCTAGAAACTGTGAGTAAGGGAACGATTTAGGAAAAGACTGCTCTCTACAGAGGTACTGAAAATGGTTTGTTAATTTCTCTTGCTTTGAGGAGGATCTAAATTTGAGACTGGCAATGCCAATGCCCTGGATAGTGGAGACTATTGTCTGATATGTGTCCTTAACATACTTTTTTTGGGGGGTGGGGTGGGGGTGTAGGGCTCTTCATAAAAAGGCTAACCTTTATGCATGCAAAGCTCTCCATTTTTTGCTTTTTTTAAATGCAAGAAAACAGTCAGCCACTCCCAATATCTCTTTCAAATACTGCAGATATTTTAAAATGGCAAATAACATGACAGGATGAGCATTTTCTAAATTATTTTCTGCCCCAAGTCCAGGAAGCCTTCCCCACGATGCTATCCGAGTATTTAAAAATCCCAAGGCATGGTTAGATCTTGAGCAGATGGGAGATGGAGGCTGACTACAATTTCCATAGCCTTAGTCCAGTGGGGAGAGAAAACGGGGGTAAATGAATCACAGTTTGCGCCAAGACAAGATTCGTTTTCCACACTTCGTATGTGGGAAGAGGAAACTACATTTTAATTAGCACATTTTTAGGGAAGAGGCAGGGATGGAGATGAGGGGGGTGGCGTGAAGTGTTTGAGGGGGAAGACGGGAGTCTGCAGAGGGGGAAGGAAATGGAGTGGTCGGTCGCCAGCGCCTGGGAAACGGAGAGATAAGGGTGGGGAACGAAGTTTGTTGTGTGTGCGAGGGTGGGGTTGACCCAAGGGGGCCTGTGAATCCCCGGCATGGCGCTCGGAGGAGTGTGCGTGCGCGTGGACTCGTGCCCGCGGAGGACATGTGTGCGGGAGGGATGTCAAGCCGTGGGTGGCGGGGAGAGGTGCGCGCCGCCGGGAGGTCTATTTCCAGAGCAGACCGCGGCGAGGAACGTGCTCGGGCGGCACCTGTGGATTGGATGGAGCCACATTTCTGCCATTGCCTGTGGCAAAGTTTATCCGGCCCCGGGTTCTGCTCGCGGCTGGCGGTACCTTGACTTTCACCTCCCGGAGGTCCGTCTCCAAAGGTCACGAGACCAGGGCCGGAGTCGGGGTGCAGACCCGCGAAGGGTCGGGCGGAGCAGGACGGCGAGCCCCGGCCCCGGGGCTGAGGCGGCAGGAGGCGTCCCCGCGGCGGGCGGACCCCAGGCCCCTCCTGGGGGCGCGGGGAGCCGCCGCAGTGGCCGCTCTGGAGACCCGCAGCCGGGGGGGGGGGGGGGGGAGGGGGGGGGCGGCAGACGCGGGCGCCGAAAGCGGCGGCTCGGCCTCGGGAGCGGGGGGCGGGCTCGGGTCAGGGTGGGCGGCCCGTCCGGGGCGTCCCTCGGGCAGGCGTCCCTCAGGGGCCTTCCGCCTCCCGCCCCAGCGGACGCCGCGGGTCCGCCTCGGCGACGGGGGCGGGCGGGCGGCCGCCCGGGCCGAGCCTGCGGGGGGCGGGCGGGTAGGCCCGGGGTGCGGCGGCCTCTCAGACTCGGCGCCGGCGGGCGAGGAGGGGGCCGCAGGGGGCGGAGCCAAGCCCTCGAGGGGCGCCCGGGGCGGAGCCAGGGGAGGGGGAGCGGGCATCGAGGGGCGGAGCCTCTAGGAGGCGGGGCCAGCCCGGACCTGTGCTTCCGAGGGGCGGGGTCGGGACGCTCGGGGGCTCGAGGGGCGGGGCCGGGGGCGTTCCGGGGCGTTCCGGGGCGGAGCCAGGGGCGCCTGGGGGCGAGGGGCGGGGCCCGAGGGGCGGGGCCGGGGGCGCTCAGGGGGCGCTCGGCCAGTCCCGCCAGAGCGCCAGCCGCCCGCCCGTAACGGTCGCCCGGGCGAGGGGCGGGAGGCTCCGCGAGGGGGTCAGTTACGTTTTCGAAAGCCGGGAGCGAGCGCCGGGGCCCTCGGCGACCCAGGTGTCGCCGCTTCCTGCCGCCCGGGGCTCGCCCAGGCCCCTCCCTCTCACGCCCCCTCCCGCCGCCCTCCCCGGGCCGCGCGGCGCTTAAGAGGCGGCGGCGGCGGATCCGGCGGCCGCGGCAGCCCGGGCGGCCGGACAGGAGGGCGGGGCGCACAAAGCCCGCCGCGCGCCGCGAGGTAACCCCGAGCGAGGGAGGGCGCCGTCGCCCGCGCCTCCTCCCCGCGGGCCGGCGGGCGTCCGCGCGGACGGGGCTGCGGGCACCTTCCGGGGCGCGCGGGGGGCTGGGGGCGCGCGGGGGGCCGCGGGGACCTCCCCTCGGGCGCCCCTGCCGCCTCAGGTGAGCCCCCCTCCGCCCGAGCGGCGGGGGGGGTCTCGGCGCGGGCGGCGGGCGCGACCCCCCGGGGCGTCCTCTGAAGGTCCTCGGGGGGCGAGGGGTTAAAAAAAAAAAAATCGAGGACTGGTTGAAACTCAGTGACCCGAGGATCTGCAGCCCCGAAGGTGCGCTGCGGGAGGGTGGGAGGTTCCCGCGCTGGGCAAAGGTGGGGGATTGTTTTGTTTTCCTCGGGTAGGAAACTTGTGTTGCTGGCAGGAAAGTGCGCGGCCACCTCCTGCGGGGCCCGTGGCTCGCGCCCCAAACCTCCCCCCCGCCCCGCGCACCCACACCCCCTCCTCGCTCTCTGCAAACGTGTGCATGTTAGGTTGCGCTGGAGTGACAAGCAGAGTTGGCAGCAGGTCGGGTTGGCTGGTGTTTGGGATGCGTCCAGCCCCCTTGGAGGTATGTTTGCTGGTGGAGCTGAGGCAAGACCACAGGCGCAGGTAGCCTAAGCTGGGCCGCTATTAAAGCGGCGAGGATGCCCTCGGGTGAACTTTTTTGTTGCAGAGATTTAATTGCACGTAGGTGCCCGAATGGAAGCTCAAGCAAAACCACTAATTTCTTGGGCACATGTGCTGTTGCAATCGATCTGCTGGAGTGGCAAGGAAAGGAGTGGAATTAACTCAACCCAGAGGCTGTGGATGGGGGTTATAAGCAAGTTTCGTGAAGGAATTTTTTATAAAATTCTGGGAGTTGGAACCAGCTGCGTGAACCTGTGTGTACGTTTGCGTTAAGTTGTGCATTTCAGATGCAACGCTGTGAAATGCTTGTTTTTCTTGGGTGGAGTGCATCTGTATCATGCCGAGTACATCTTAACTTTGGCTTCAGAAAATTCCTGATGAGGGTGTAAAAGACAGTAGAATTTGTCATTTTTAAGATGCTTATAGTAAAGTATGGGGCCAACTCATTTATAGGGTTAAATTCCTTTTGGGGCCTTGTCAAAAATTTTATATCTGAGTCTCTATTGCATTATAATTGTGTTGTAACTTTTTTTCCCTTTGCTTAAATTGACCAGATTAACATTGCAGAGGTCTGGGGGGAGGGGGGGAACTGACCACTTTTACTTCATTTAACTCTTAATTTTTCCAAAAAGTTAAGTCTGTGCTGACTTTTAAAAATTGGCTTAAAGTGTTGGCATGTTGGCCATAGTTGCTTTAAAAAAAGAAGTGGTGTAAGCGTTTTGAATATTAAGCATAATTTGAGTTCTTTCGATGACTTGAAGACTTTCAATATGGTGCAGCTTTTTACATGTATATCAGGAAATGTTTGGTAAACATTTGACATGACATGGGTGTTCATATGACAACTGGAAAGTATATTATGGAAGGATTATATTTTCAGAATATAAATTTTACATTCTGAAAATTATGAGAAAAATTATGTTGTATACTTTACTACTTCCAAACTCCCTCCACCTCCCTTTTAAATAATGTGATACTGGAATGAAAGTGAATTCTGTTCAGTGATGTTTAAAGTGTGTTGTTAAAGTCAGAACATCTTTTTTTAAGATTTAGTATCAGCAACAGCCCACCTCCTAAACATAATCCTAAAACCTAGGTACAGAGTGGAGTCCAACTTCTAAGGGTGTGAGGCTTCCTGAAAGAGATTTATCCTGTTTGTCACGCCTAAGCCCACAAGTTCGATTGTTAGCTGTTTAATCTCGTCTATCTCAAAGCAGTTGATTATCAGTACTGGGCAGCATGCATGTCATCAGGGAATAAGAAGCATTTGTTTTGAGAGAAGAAATCAGATGAAAGCATCGAAACTCAACTCTGGACAAACTGGGTTTATGTTTATAGCCTGTTGGGGAAGGATAATGTCAGAATCTTAGCTTAACAGAGTTGCTATATGTAAAATGCTTAGAATAGAGTCTGGTACTCAGTAAGAGCTTTTTATGTTTGTCATCATCACTATAAAATGGCATATTTTTGAAGGTGGTTATATCATGCTAACCAGTTAGTGAAGACACAGCAAAAATATTTGTAATAGCCAATATTTATATGTTCTATCTCTGTGCCAGGTAGAGTTTTATATGATTTAATTTACTCAATCTTCACAACAACCCAGTAACTATCTAGAGACAAAGTTAAGTACTGATATTTTGCCCGAGGCCTACAGCTGCTAGGTAGCACCTACTCCTTCTTAACCCAGGGTCTGACTTTAGAGTGAGCCCATATCCCTTCTGGGCCATGTTGCTGTTACACTTGTAATGCCAGTGCAATCACTGAAAGCCCTTCGTCGTGTCCCCTGGCTACCAAGTGTGCATGTGTCTTATTTAGCCACACTCTCTGGTGTTAATACCAATAGGTTGTATTTAAATCTGAAGGGTAGTGCTTAATCTGCATTTAATAGAACCACCCTTTGACTTTGGGAGAGGCGTCCCTTTTGATTCACACATGTTTAGTTAAGATGTTAGAATTTGGGCTGAATGTTATCTTTTAGAAAATTATTGAAGTAACTGCATTTTAACACTGTGTAAATTTCAGGTATACACCATTTGTAAAATTATTAGAGACTTTTTAAAAAGTTCGTCTGATAATGCAGGGCTCCAGCTGGCCTAGTAGGCACTAACATCCTTGGAGAGATTACCATTCTGTACTAAATCCTTAGGCCTGACCAGTCATCTTCTGATTACCAACACCATATCAATCTGATGTAAGTTAAACTTATTCTAAATTCCACTTGAATTGCCTTCTAAAATTAACCTTAAATGATAATAAGGTATAACTTGGGGCTTATGCTTGTCACTAGCATAAGTCAGGGAACTGTGTATTGCTGTTTCATCAGTGTAGTTGATAGATCAAGTAAATTATTACCTAAATTAGGAGCTGCGGTGTTAAGTAATGTTTAGACTTGTTATTGTAGAGAGCTGATATGTCCTTTATTGGCAGTTGAGTAAAAGATAGTGTTAGGAAAATGCTTAAAAACTGTGATACAATTAATTAAATATGTAGTTTGAATAGAGAAAATTTGAAATGTCGAATCCAGGGTGCTATCTGGCCCTTTAAACAAACACCCTTTTTAAATTTAATTAAGCAGTCATAGACTATGTCATGTCATTCAAAATGAATGAGAGTCAACATACTTAATTTTAATGTCTTCTGTGTTAATGATCTATCATTTGATCTTGGAGTCTGTGCCAAGGTATTTATAAATTAAATTGTTATGAGGTCTTTTGAGTTTTGCCAGTGACTAAATTCTCTTGGCCAAAACCCAGGACAATCTCAAATTTTTACCGTAGTGGATCGTATACATTAAGAATTCTCTCTAAATCGTACTGGTTAGAAGTCTTTCCTTGACTATGACTTGAAAGGAAAAAGTCTGTTATCCCTTCCATAGTTCATATGTTTTTTTCTTCTAGTGGTAGCCAGTTGTGGACATGTGTCTAGCCATAGTTTTTAGGGGATACTTTTCCTTTCAGGTAAAGTTAAAAATTATTTGCCTGGCATTCATTCAATAAATACATGAATAGCAACAGTATGCACAGAAGAAGTTTAACTAAAATTTAAAGTATTGGAGGGGAATAAGTTTGTGGACTTTTTGTTTATTTTACATGTATTTTAATAATCTTTATCTTCTGTAGCTGGACAAATTAATATTAAAACATTTTAATATTAATAAAGTACTATTTACTTACCCTAAAGTCTTAGATTGTGGTGTAGTGAGAATCAGCCTCTTGTTTCGTTTAAACTGTTTCTTGTTGGGTATCTTTGAAAAATTGCATTAATAACTTATAAATAAAATAATGTTCTCAGGTTGCTCAGATATTACACTAAAGGAGCAATTTAGTGAAGAGTATCCTAGAAACCTTAAAGAATGAAACTTTCAGTTAGCTAGTACAACCCCAAAGTGGTAGTATATGCACAAAAGGTGTAAAATGGGTGACATTCTTTTCTGGTATTAAATGACTTGCCCTTCTTATAAGTTTGCTTCTTAAGAATATAGTACTAGAATATAGCCAGAACTGAAGTATTATTGTAAAAGGTATATAGACTTCAACATACAATTATAGCTTTATAAACTTAGGTAAATTGAGCTTTTACTCAAAGTCATACTGATGCACATTACTACCATATACTTGACTTTTACTTTGTTTTAAGTTGACTTTAGTTAAAGCTTAAGTGGAAATGGTGACTCTCTGATAAAAGATGAACTTTGAAACCTCTTTGTTTTTAATTGTCCCAAGCTGAGGATGTTGGTATATAGGTAGTACATCACTAGCATTTAAGATGGTTACTTCCGTGAAACTCACCTTATAAAAATTTCCACAACCAGCCATCCAGGGGGTCTGAACACTGCTTAGAAACTTAAAATGTTCTTAAAACCAATGTCTTAAGAAGTATCCAACATTTAATAAAACAAAATAAAAAATTTTACTGCTCAAAATGTGCCTTAAGGCAAGTAGACATTAAGACAAACAATGGATTCAGCAAGATGAAAACCTAACTCCAAGTAACATCCATGAAATTATTTTTTAATTCTTTTTTGCTACCTCTCATATGCCTTTAAATTTATTTTTGTTAAATTTATTTTGTTTAATTTATTTTTGTTAAAAAAACAACAAAATAAAAATAAGCAGACAACTATAAATCAGAGACATTCTGCAGGGGAGGGTGCGGGAAGAGCACAAGGGACTATGGTGATGGTGCACTGGTGAATTGGTGGTAGAAATTCTATGGGGACTACACCTGAGAAAAGCTAACATTGTAAGAAAAAAAAATAAATTAAAAAAAATTAATTTTTGTAATTTTCACCACCACCAGCTTCCCCCACTAAGGAATTGCTCACCTTTGTGGATGAAAGAGGAAGGGGCGGGGTGTGTGTGTGGTGTGTGTGTGTGTTCAGGAGCCTGTTTAACTCATCTGCCATGAGTTACTTGCAAGGAGAGCTGAAATTCCAACAATGTAGAAAGCAACCAGATTGGAGAAGTGCAAAGGTTTTTCAGGATCTTGGGAAGATAGTGTATTCCTTTATTGTTCCAATCACCAGTGTTTCTGTGAAGTTCTTCCACAGAGGTTTGCTCATCCAGAGAAGGGATAGTGTTTCTTTTTCTTTTCCATACACAATTCTCATCCCATCATATTTTGATCTCCTGGAATGACTAGCGCCATTACACAAAGACAGCTTTATTCAATACCTTCATGGAGAAGATAAGTAAGCTTATTTGGTATGTCTAAAAAAGTGTATTTGGAGATCAGGGCCTCCTTGAGAACTCTTTAAAAATACTCTACTTTGAATCCTTCAGAAATTAGAGACAGCAGCTGTTAACTGCATTGTTATTTCTAATCTTATTTGTTTTATTAGCACATAAGAAAAGGATTCTATAAAGTCAGCCTTTAAATATCTAAGGAACTGGGGTTGGGGGAGGGAAGGGTGATGGTCAGAGCTCAAGTGGAGCTGTGAATGGTCTTAAGTACATAGGGTGAGCTGCACAGATGAGAGTGGTAGGGAAAAGAGATTGGCAGTGAAGTTGGTATGTCTGCATTCCTTATCTGCACTTCCAGGTTGTTTTTTTAAAACTATAAAACAGTGTTGTACCTACCTTCCCAGTGTCCTGTGACTTTCATTGGCAGGGCTGAGTTCTATCATTCCTAGAGAAAGATGGAATTTGTAAAGAGATTCCCATAAGATTGTTGAAGTTTGGCTTTCAACTGAAGGTTTGCACTAAAAGGAATTTCCTTCTGCCTCTATCCACTACTGCTTTTTGAATTTCAAAGAAAGATCTCTGAAACAGAAGTGTGAGACGTCTTGTCACATAATAGTTGGGACCCATTATGTATTAAGTAAAACATGTATCAATGAATTAGAAATTCATATTACTTTAAAGACTTTTTTTTGCAAAGCTAGATACACAGTAATTTTAGTAGTAGGATATTTGTTTCTTTTTATGTGGATATTAAAAATTATTTTCAGTCAAAAAATGGTCTTTCATTGACCTAAGTTAATGTTGATAATGGCAAATTCATAGTTCTTGAAACATTTTGCTATCACTAATATGCAAATGAAATACTCAAATGACAAGGGTCTAGTCACTAGCCATTGAAAAGCTGTTAACCTGTATTGCAGAATATAATAGGGAAGGAACATTTTATGTCTGATTCAGAACAGTGTATCTGCTTGACAAGATAAAGGCTGAGAAGTTGATTACTTGGTAATCACTGGAGTTAGGTGATTTTTGTATTGTGCTTGATGTCTTATAATCTGAATTATCCTGGGTTCTTTAAAATTGTCTAATTGGACCATCAGCTTTTGATGAATGCATTTTGGAGGAATGTGACTATCGGTTAAGTGTTTGAAAGAGAGAATTCCTGCTTTGTATCACATCTGCATGTCACAGAACCTGTTTCTTAGAGGTGATTTAATTTGGGCTCAAAGGGAAGAGTGCCATCTACTGAATGGCCAGCATCATGTTGAGCAGCCCAACTTTTTTTTAATGGAACCATCAACTGGCTACTTAAGAAGTCAGCCTCAACTTCTATGAAGGATTTGACAGGATCTTAGTACAGAATAAAATTGTTGCTTGTTTAGTTTTAATTATGCTTCCCAGCAGGAGGCGTAAACACATGATGAAAAGCTAATTTAGTGCACATTAGAATGCATGAGAAAGGAGAAACTTTGAGAAGTTGTTGAGACTTTATATTAAAAAGTAGTCTAGCAATCGTGAATTCATTAATAAATTAAAAGTATAAAAATTGTTTTAATGAGACATGTTTCATTAGCAGTTTGGTTATTGATGGCTCCTGTAGGTGACACTGTTTAAAATTTCATCTTAAAGTCATCAAACAAATATTTGCCTAACTGAAAGTAGGGTTTCAGGAGTGCCTGAATACCTGGATTTTTTTAATTTTGTCTTTTCACTTTGTCTCAGTCTCTCATGCAGTGATTCCTACTGGAGTGAACTCACTGTTTCAATGTGGATTTTGTTGTTTTGATTTGTAAGTGGCCTTTTTTTTTTTTTTTTTTTGCTTTTAATCACATTTTTAGTTCTTCAGAAAGTTAGGAGTTACTGTTTTGGTATAACCAAAGCTTCTCAAATTGCATTTCAGAAATGGTTGTGCTGTGTAATCTAAACCCAATCACTCTGTAGATTCTGACTTCTCCTTCAAATGGAAGAGAATCATGCTTTCCCGTCTTAAAAAAAAAAAAAAGAAAAGAAAAAAATCCCTGTGAAATAGATACATGACACTTTGGGATTCTGAGTCTCCTTTCCAGTCCAGCATAGAAAAGGTGAACAATTCAAAAGATGTTACTTGTCAGCCAGTGATGAATGCTAAAAGACAAGTATAGACCGCAAATGCCATAGGTCTGCTGGTTAAGGAAAGAGCACCATAAATATGATGTGGTCAGAAAAAGATCCCCAGGGAAGAAGAACAAGGGTGGGTCCTAAAAGACAGCACAGAAAGGGTTTTGGCCAGAAATTACTGTTCATAAAAATGAACAGTACTGTTCATAACTGTTCTTTTTCTGTAGCACAATGGGAGATAGTTTATAATAGTGGTTCACAGTCTCTTACCATGGTAAGACACTTGAAGGCTGCAGCATGCTATTACCAGTAACTGTGCCAGTGACACACCTTCCTGAGACTTAGTATATTGCAAGAGTTTGTGGGGGAGAAAGTGCTAGTGGTGGTGTCATGGGGCAAACTTTGGGGGTTG